TTGTGCTGAAGATGTTGTGGATAGTAATTTTTCATGAAAAGGGTATGAGCAGCTTGATCTCACAGGAATTTTATATTTGTTGTATATTTTATATAAGAAAAACAAAATGCCTGATCTTATAGAATTATAGTTAAATAATGTGAATATCTTAGATATCTTTGATAATCTAAGATTTAAGGGATGCCTGGGTGGCTCAGTTGGTTAAGTGGCTGCCTTCAGCTCAGGTCATGATCCCATCGTCCTGGGATTGAGTCCCACATCAGGCTCCTTGCTCAGCAGGGAGCCTGCTTCTCCCTCTGCCTCTGCTGCCACTCTGCCTGCCTGTGCTCTCTCTCTCTCTCTGACAAATAAATAAATAAATAAATAAATAAAATCTTTTTAAAAATCTAAGATTTTTTTTTAATAAAGAGTTTGTTTATTTATTTGACAGAGAGAAATCACAAATAGAGAGGCAGGCAGAGAGAGAGAGAGAGGGAAGCAGGCTCCCTGCTGAGCAGAGAGCCCAACGCGGGACTCGATCCCAGGACCCCAAGATCATGAACTGAGCCGAAGGCAGCGGCTTAACCCACTGAGCCACCCAGGCGCCCTAAAAAATCTAAGATTTAAGACAAAGATATTCTGACTTTGCACTCAAGAGGAGTTGACTTTGACCTCTTTGCATCCTCCTCAAAGGCCCTTACTATTGAACAAGAGTATTTAGGATTTCCCAAATTCCCAAGGTACAGCATAGATAGACATGCTGTACCCCTAATAAGTCCCCAAAGCAACAGAATTAATTTTTCCTCACCTATTCAGTCTCTAACTGCTAAGGTGGCTATCCATTTCAAACTGGTGATTGCAACCAGTGAGAAGCTGAAATCAACTTTAAAGGTCTAAGCAGCATTTTTTAAAAAATGAAATAGGCTACAACAGAATTTAATTGGGTTGAAAGTATCAGGGCACCTCACTAATCCTTATTCAAGGCTCAAGTTCAGGAGGGAGAGCTGATATATGAGCAGGTATCTTATTGGAATTTCTGGGTGAAATTTTTGGACAGATAACATTGTACAGTCTAATTTTATTTCTCACAACTACTTGTGATTTATGAAATTATATACAGGGGAACTTTATTGCTGATCGAAAAATCCAGACTTTTCAACTGAGTTCCAATGAAGGACTTAAAGTATGTTTGGGGGAAGGGCATGTCATCATTTATGATGTATGTATGCACTAAACATATGGTGTGTGTGTTTGTGTGTCTGTGCGTGTTCTATTTATTAACCAAATCAGTGTAAATTGTTCCAAAGAAGTTGCTTTATTATTAGAAGGAAAAGAAATAATAAAGTGAAAAATACAGGAACTGTGTTCAGGTGTAGCTGCTAGATTTGGAAGTGCAGTGAAAAGACTGAGGAAAAAAAATCTTCCTTTAATAATCAGAAAATAGGCTTTATATTTCAAAGGAGAAAAAGGTAATGCATTTCTGGCAAAGGAAAGAGTAATATCTTCAAAATTAGGGGACATGTGAAAATATAACATGTAAGTCCCTAAAATAAGTTCTTAAGGAAAAAGGCATAAAGTTATTGGCACAATTTCTCAGTTGCTTCACAAATATTAATGAAAAAGACAATCTTTATGTTTAGTTGTGGCAGAAGAAAAATGGTTCGCACTAAGTGCTAAGGAACTGCTTCCTCCAATATGTTGGTGCATATGTTTTTGGTGGCAAAGAGGCTGATAAATTCAAAGCTATGATTCCTGGCAATAGCATAGTATCAACTCAATTATCACAGAACACTGAGAAGAATCAATGATTATCATGCAGTTACAGACCAACTTGATGGGAGTACTAATACTGCGAGTTGTCTAATACTTTTACACCAGATATGTGTAGCAAGCCAATTTTATAGAGGAGTTATTTTCTGTATGGAGAAAAACATATTCACAATAAGAGAACAGCACTTAAGTCAATAAAAAACCTTTGTACAGTTTATAATGGATAAAATATGTTATCCATTATATTAATGGATAATAATATAATGCACAAAAACCTTTATAAAATTTGTAATAGAATTGCAAGTGCTGGGACAACAAATATGGTCAGGAAATTGTAGATATACAAAAGAATTATTGAAAACTACTAAAAACAGAAGATAATTTGAAATATTAAATGAAAATAACAGTAAGATTCATTTGGTTTTCAAAACCTTAAGTAATTGAATTAAAGTTGATGTTCTATGAAGAGAATAAATTGTTGTGGCTTAGGACCTCATTTACACAGAAAAATGATTGCCATACATGAAATTTATCATTATGTTGGATTAAGATTAAAGATATTACTGCTAAGGGATGCCTGGGTGGCTCAGTGGTTAAAGCCTCTGCCTTCAGCTCAGGTCATGATCTCAGGGTCCTGGGATCGAGTCCCGTGTCGGGCTCTCTGCTCAGCAGGGAGCCTGCCTCCTCCTGTCTCTCTCTGCCTGCCTCTCTGCCTACTTGTGATCTGTCAAAAAAAAAAAAAAAATCTTAAAAAAAAAAAAGATATTACTGCTAAGAAGAAAGTGGATTCATGTTACTATCCACAATGCCTATGTGAACTAGGATGTTCAATTTGACCCATTTTAAAAAAATAAAAAAAGATCAGGCTTAATAGTAGACCAGATGTACATGCGGCATCATCCTCATGCATTCTAGACTGGAGTAAACCTACGAACAGGCAGAGACTTCCATGGCTTTAAATAAAATCTTTACTAATTTGCTTCTGTACCACTTATATTAAGATTGGTTTCCAAATTGTATTATAAAATACCTTTATATTGTATTAATTTTGTTCTTACTTTATTTTACACAGTTCGTTTTGTATAGCTTGTATTTCAAGACATGTATGTGTGTGTATCCCGGGTTTCAGTGTAGAATCTATTTCTCACTGTGAGTTGTGGTTCAAAAGTCGGAAAAACACTCAATGCTTTAGAAGTTAGAAGAGGACTTTGGAAGAGTAACACACCTGCAGAAGGATCTGGCCCACAGACCACCTCTTTGCTGTCTGAGCTAAACTGTGGATGATACTGACTATGCATTCTATATGAAGTATAGAATTTACTTTGTAGGTAAGTTGCAGCTAGGACTAATACTGACATGATAAAAAGTGTTTTAGGGACACCTGGGTGGCTCAGTCAGTTAAGTGTCCTACTCCTGATTTCCGCTCAGGTCATGATCTCAGGGCTGTGGGATTGAGCTCGCCGCTTCACGCCCCCACCCAGCGCTGTGCTCAGTGCAGTTTGCTTCAAATTCTCTCGCTGTCTCCCTCCCTCTCAAACAAAATCTTTTTTTTTTTTAAAGATTTTATTTATTTATTTATTTGACAGAGAGAAAGAGAGAGAGAGAGAGAGCACAAGCAGGCAGAGAGGCAGGCAGAGGCAGAGAGAGAAGCAGGCTCCCCACTGAGCAAGGAGCCCGATGCGGGGCTCGATCCCAGGACTCTGAGATCACGACCTGAGCCGAAGGCAGCGGCTCAACCCACTGAGCCACCCAGGCGCCCCTCAAACAAAATCTTAAAACAAAAACAAAAAACGTGTTTTAGAAGCATTAATATAGTCCCACTGCAAGACTGGCAGGAAGAGAATGGGGACAGAAAGTTTACTTAAATGCTGCTAAAACAACCTAGAAATGAGACCACTAGCGCAGAAGCAAAATGGGAGCAACTGCAGAGAAGATAAGGGAGATAAAACGGCGCGCCAAGGAAAAAGGATAGCAATTTAGAGCTGGGAGGGACCTTTGGAGACATCCATCCCATCAGTATCTTCATACAATTAGTAAAAGTAACAGTAAAAAATTTTGAGAATTTGTCTATGACGTCATACTGACCTAATCAAATAGTCCTCAGTAGGTGTTAAACATTGTTAATCCGGTTAATGAAATCAGCAGAAGGCATGAGTTCTCTTCAGGATGCAGGGCGGGCCCTCGAATTTGCTTGCTATTTAATGGATTAAAATGGGCAATAACTCCGGTCCTTTTAAATCTGAATTCCAATTAGTTTACCACAGGTGTGCCTACAAGGCTTCCCCCGTCAAGGCTCCCCTCCAGCCCGAAATGGGTCATGGAGCATTCTACTTTCAGAGAGTATGTTCCCTAAAGTACCACCAAATCCTCCTGAGACGTTTTCTGTTAATTTCAACAGTTTATGGACGAGCCCAGAACTATTCATTTACTGTACTCGTTCAGTCACCCAACTTCAAAACGGTATTGAGCATTTTACGACCGTGCCACACACCGTCCCCACCGCGGCCGGGCGAGAATAACAGGAGCCGGTCTAGGAAAGGGAGGCCTGTGGGAGTCAGTGGGGCGCTCTGCGGAAAGAAGCCGCAGGGCGAGTCCGGCTGCAGTTAGCCATTTCCTTTCTTTCCCCGACACTTCACAGGCTGCGGGGCGCTGGGCGGGCAGGCACCGCGGCTGGTCCTCGCGTCCGTCATCCCTTTCTCCGTATCCGCCTCGAATAACCTGCTTGACAACCCCGATTCTCTAGAGCCGAGGGCGGGAGGTGTGTGCCGGGGACGGGATCCAGCGCCATGATTAGGTCAGTCCCAGGCACATCCAGACGCTCGCTCCTAGCTGAGCCCCACATGCGTCGCGGGTTTCCGGGTGCTAGTGGGAAGCTCGGGAAACCCCAGACCCCTCCCTTTTAGGAAGGGCTCAGACGGCGTCTCCGTTTCCAAGGAAACTGGCCCTGCCATAACGTCACTTCCGCTGACCTGTCTGGACTCCAGACTGTTGAGAGGAAAAAAGGAAAACTGAGCCACAGCCACGACGGTGGACGCGAGCGTCTCCTGTCTGCGCATGCGCCCGCTCAGCGGCCTGCTTCTATTTATGTGGGGGATCCAACATGGCGGCTGCGGCGACCCTGGAGATGGCGGTGGAGACCATCAGAACATAGTGGCGGGGAAGGGGGCACGGTCCGCACTCACGGTGGCGTCGGCAGAGACGACTGAGGGCGGTGGAGGGAAGAAAAGCGACGGAAAGCAAAAGGAAGGGCGGGCAGGCAGACAACTCGGCGTAGAACCGAGCGCCGGCTCGAGCGAAGGCAGAGGGCCAGAACAGTGGGGATGGCGGAGCCACGCAGAGTAGCGTTTATTAGCCTGTCACCGGTGAGGCGGCGCGAGGCCGACTACCCGGGGGCCGAACGCGAGCCCGAATACCCTCGCGAGCCCCCCCGGCTGGAGCCGCAGCCGTACCGCGAACCGGCCCGGGTGGAGCAGCCGGCCCCGCGGGAGGCTGCCCCCCGGTCGGACGCGCAGCCCCCGCCGCGGGAGAAGCCGCTCCCCCAGCGCGAGGTCAGCCGCGCCGAGCCGCCCATGTCGCTGCAGCGGGAGCCCCCGCGGCCAGAGCCGCCGCCGCCGCCGCCGCTCCCTCAGCTGCACTTGCAGCCGCCCCCGCCACGAGAGTCGGCTTCCCGGGCCGAGCCGCAGCAGAGGCCGCCGAGGGAGACAGTGCGCCTGGAGCTAGTGCTCAAGGATCCCACCGACGAGAGCTGCGTGGAGTTCAGTTACCCGGAGCTGCTGCTGTGCGGAGAACAACGGGTACAGAAGATTCTCCCTCACCCCCCAGACCCTGGGAGCCTCAGGACGCATCCGCTTCTCCCAGTGGTTCGCACCTTCCGACGCCCGCTTTGCGCGTCTCGGGTCTCCTGGGAGGGTGGGCTGGAGGGGGCAGGGGCCGGACGGGTGGACCAGTGGTTGGTGCTGCTTTTCCCCTGCTCCCCTGGGTTGGCCAAGGCTCCCACCCGGCTCTACACCCCCCGCCCCCCGCCCCCTCGCCTCGTGCGCCCGCTCCAGATGCCACTCGGAGCGGGTTTTCCTCTGCACCTTTCGAGACCTCAGAATTTACACCTTTCTGCTCCCCGCACAGAATTTGGGGGCTCTGCAAGTTACGTGGCTGGGTTTTCCTTGTGGAGCTCCAGCAGTCGTTCCAGTAGAAAGGAAGAGAAAACCTTGGGGGACACGCCCCCCATCCGAAGCAGGGAGATAGTGTAACCCCCTCCATATCCTCCTCCTCTTCATCACTATTTGTTATGCTTGGCGCTGAGATGTGCTTGTGAGCGTGGGGTGTTTCTCTTAATTTAGAAGTGTATTTGAAAATAATCTAAAATTTTTCAGACTAAGGATTCCACTCTAGGAATGAAGAAGAAGCGGATTAGTTATTTGGTTACTTATTTTTCTCGCTCACCTTGGTATTGGTACACCTACTTAGCTTTGTTTTCTCTAGAGTTTTTTACTGTAATTGAATGGGAAGGTGTCTCCTGTTTTATTTGGCGCCTGCTATCATACTCTCTTATTTGAGTGTATACCATTAGTTTATAGGTCTAGGTTGGAGGATGTTGCAGTAGCCATTGTAATTTTTGGAGACCGATGAAACACAGCTTTGAATTTTTAGGAACTGGTTGAAAATATATAGGTATGCCTTTGGTGGAACCGGTGAACAGTGATAGGAGGGAGGTTTGTTAGTAATTGTAATTTTTATTGTAGGTTTTGGTGATCTTTAGAAGTAAACTAGAGAGGGAAATGATAGAGTAACAGTAATAAGAGAACAGTTTCCTCTGTTGTTTAGAGATTATGCTCTTAGGTTTTGCTCTAGCACAGGTCTAATGGACTCCAGAAGTCATTTGTTTCGTTTTCATTCTCAATTATCTTTGTACTTGGATGATTCTTAAGTTTAAAAATAATCATATTAAACAACGTCACTGGATTTTGTTTATTTTAAGGCCAATTAATCTTTTGATCATTATTTACAAATACTGCTGTGTGGCCAAATCACTACTAAATGTTTGCAACCACAATGAATTGTTAAGGGTAGAGATCATTTTGGCCATTTTCACAAACATTTTGTCCTTCAGACTCACTTTAGTGCCACTACTATTTATAAATGTGATGTTAGTTTTTTTCCCAAAAGCATTTTGAAAATACTAGATTGGAGCATTTTTCAAATTGTATTTGATCTAATCCAAGTGGGTTTGCAGTTTTACTCCCTAACTTTCTTTATAAATTACAGATGAAAAGCATCATCTTTGGGTAAAAGTACATTATGGTAGCCAACATTTACTGAATTCTTCCTATGTGTGTGCTAGACACAGTTCTAAGTAAGGTGTATGGCTTACGTAATTTAGTTCAGCAGTGCTCCTTGAGATTGGAACCATTATCCCTACTTCACAGATGAGGAGGCTAAGGCACAAAGTGCTTGTACGTAATTTTATTAGTACTTCTTTCTGTACCAGTACCAATTCTTAGTAAAACAAAATTTCTTAAAATTGTATAGTTTAAATTTGGAGGATCCTGCCAAAATGAACTAAAATTAGAGTTATAGTAGAAATACAGAGATTTCTGTTATCCTCTTAATGCTATGATATTCATGCCATGATTAATAATAGATATGTACCTTTTAATTATGACAAAAAAGTTAAATTTGACACCCTTTCTTGCTAATCTGATAATATCAGAACTACTAGTTTCATATAATAGGAGAAAGATAAATAATTCAGTTTCATTTTTCTGTTTATACTATCAACTTAGAGGTATTTTGGTCGAATTTTCTTGTATATTCAGCTATATATCACTTGTATTCTGAACAAAAAAAAAACCATTGTTTATACAATGCATCTTTGCAACCAAGTATTGCCAGATTTACTAATGATTACTCCCAATGAACATATTTATTACATGAGGAATTGTAGAAAATATTTCTCTAAATAAAGTTGTCATATTTCCATGAAAGGAAATCCTAGTAGTAGAAACCAACAAAAAGCTAAATGAGATCACCAGAATTGATCTGCTGAGTGGCAATTCCCAAATTTGGTTTTTCTTCCCCTCAAGGAGAGTCTAGTTATTTTTAAGGATGTTACAATATTTTCAAAATAGTCTAAACTTTGAGTTGTTGGAATTGAACAACTTGTTACAGAGTTTGAGTAGAAAGGGGAGAGAACGAGATGGTATAAAATGAAAGAAAAAAGATTCTGAATTTTGAAATAGCCATCTGTCACTGAATTAAGATTTTAGTTGATAGGTATAGGTATAAATCTGTCACATGTGAATACCACCTATATTGGGGTGCATTTAAATCACCCCCCTTCATAAATATGAGTAGTAAAACCCAGGTTAACTGAATGCAATCAGAATTTTTTGTATACTCTTATTATTATTATTTTTTAATGAGGAAAAGCACAGTTAACTAAGTATGCTGGCAAGAACAAAACCCCTTCTTGTCAGGTTGTAAGGACACAGGTTAGCTAAACTTTTAACCTTGTTCTCTCTCTAAGCTACTAAGCTCTGATATAGTTCAAGATGATGACTGGGGCACTGCCATCATCTCTATCCTCAAAGATTAATTTGTTCACCATTTCTGGCTAAAGAGAAATAGCACAGTTGAGTCTGGCAGTAATTGATATGCAAATAATTTTTGTTTGACTCGTAGTAAATCAGAGAATCAGTTAACCAGAACATCCACTTGTGAATGTGATTAATTGAGCATTTACTATAAAAAGAATAAGTGATTATAGTGTCAATGTAGTTATACTGTTCGAGAATTCTGTGCTATTCCATTGCTTGTCATACTGCATATTTTTGATAACATCTGAAGGATCTGAAGATGGTATTAATGAGTTAATATCAAAGGACAAAATTATAATGTTATTGCCTATGGGTAGTTGGCAATTTTGATATTTGCTGATTTGTAGATTATCTTTTCACATGGAAAACATAAAGCTCACTTAGAGCCTTGATTGTGGGTAGGGGTTTATTTCTTAACTGTGAGAGAAAAGTGAGTCATTTTTCTTAACTCTGTTTTTATAGACTGTAAAGAGTAAGAGATTTACTCTTGATTCCTCTATAAAGTCTATACAGAATGTTATAATGGCATTTAAGGTAATTGTTATTAAAAAATATATGTCCGTGTGTTTACACTTCACATATAAAATGGGACAGCTCAGTAATAAGACCTTGTATTTGGACTTCACAGTGACATGAAGCAACAGTTGATAATGTCAAGGCATGGTGGTTGCACACTGTCCTTTAGTCTTAAGGCTATCTCTTTTTTTTTTTTTTTTAAAGATTTTATTTATTTGACACACAGAGAGAGAAATCACAAGCAGGCAGAGAGGCAGGCAGAGAGAGAGAGAGAGGAGGAAACAGGCCCCCTGCTCAGCAGAGAGCCCGATGTGGGGCTCGATCCCAGGACCCTGAGATCATGACCTGAGCCGAAGGCAGAGGCTTTAACCCACTGAGCCACCCAGGCGCCCCTTAAGGCTATCTCTTGAACATACCTAGTATTTATTTCATTATCGGTCTCTTCCCCCTGATTTATTTATTCCTTTCATGTCATATATATTTATTCCACTGGTAACTCCGACTGGGATAAGGGATTTTGTAAATACATTACTTATTACAGTAGTTAATTTAAAACATTGATTCTAAGATTAATTTTTTTAAGCTTTAAGAATATCCCTTTAGGGGGCACCTGGGTGGCTCAGTGGGTTAGGCCGCTGCCTTCGGCTCAGGTCATGATCTCAGAGTCCTGGGATTGAGCCCCGCATCGGGCTCTCTGCTCAGCAGGGAGCCTGCTTCCTCCTCTCTGCCTGCCTCTCTGCCTGCTTGTGATCTCTCTGTCAAATAAATAAATAAATAATCTTAAAAAAAAAAAAAAAAAAGAATATCCCTTTAGGGTGACCTTGGTGGCTCAGTTGGTTGAGCAACTGCTTTCAGCTCAGGTCATGATCCTGGAGTCCCAGGAGGAGTCTTGAGTCCTGCATCGGGCTCCCTGCTCAGCAGGGGCTCTGCTTCTCCCTCTGACCTTCCCCCTCTCATGCTCATTCTCATGCTCTCTCTCTCTCTCAAATAAATAAATAAAATCTTAAAAAAAAAAAGTATCCCTTTATTCTAATATTTTAGGTCTGATGAATTGTTTTGTATTCATTCTGTTCATATTTTTCTGTCATATTTTTAGACTAATCGTATCTCAGCTTTCATATCCAGGATGAAGTGTATCAGTTCCAAAGTGTGCAGATCTTTGTCCCCTCTGCATTTTTTTCTTCAGGTTCAGCCAAACCTTTATCCAGTATTTCAGTTTTAATATTCTTTATTTTTAATTACTTGAAGATGCTACTTCATAAAAACACCTAGCCAAGATTAACTTTCTAGTCAGTTGTCCATAATTAGATACAAGTAGCATTTTTATTCATATGCAGCTCCTTGTTTTCCCTTTTTTGTATTGAAAACCTGTGTGTGTATGAAAGGTGTCTGCTAAAATAGTAAACTTGAATAAAGGTTGTGATTTACCTTTTTGTTTGTTTTAGTAAATAGATGGTAAATGTGGGATCCTAGCTGTGTGTGTGGTTTTTTAAAACCATGTATTATGATAAACTTTCATTCTCCCCTGCTAGAAGGAAGCCACGGGAATGTAATCTATTTGCAGCTTTCAGTTTTCTAGCTTTGTTTAAGAGAAGTATGTACTCCCTGAAGGAATACTGATGGACAAAAAGGAGGTGATGTAGACTGAGGTGTTGATGCTGGGCCTCAGCAGAAGGCTATAGCAGCAGCAGATACCCTCGTGGTAGCGAGGGCAGATGGTTCAGGGTTGATGTCGGTTAATAACCTGGAGAGCCTTTGAGAAGCATTTCCTGACCAAAGCAGTTATTTTGAGGGGGAAGATCTCAAACCAGAGTTATAAGTGGGATTTTCATTTTTACCTAATTTTTCTTGGGGAATTTTTGGCCTTTTTATTTTGGATGGGGTGACCATAGATCATTTTGTAGGAGGAGACAATTTGATTTGTTGAGTTATGAACCAACGAAAAACTTGAGAGTGTGTAAGAATCCATTGAAACTGCAAGTATTTTTGCTACGAACCAACATTTCTTTCTAGTTACTTTTAATGTGTCTAACTTATTTGTTTTTTTTTTTAAAGATTTTATTTATTTATTTGACAGGGAGAGATCACATGTAGGCAGAGAGGCAGGCAGAGAGAGGGGGAAGCAGGCTCCCCGCTGAGCGGAGATCCTGATGCGGGGCTCGATCCCAGGACCCTGAGATCATGACCTGAGCCGAAGGCAGAGGCTTTAACCCACTGAGCCACCCAGGCGCCCACTAACTTATTTGTTAATATTTGGAAAATTTGACTCTAATTATTAAATTTAAGGATGCATTCAACTCTGGTTAAAGTAATATTAATACTTACATTTCTTTTCCTATTTACTTTGAATCAGAAGAAGCCCATTCACACAGAAGACCCATTTAATGATGAACATCAAGAGAGGCAAGAAGTGGAAATGTTGGCTAAGAAGTTTGAAATGAAATATGTGAGTATAATATATTCTTTGTTTAGATTTTACCTTATTGACTTTTTTTTCCCCCTCTTGGTGACTGGTTGGGAAGGCTTATAATATCCATTGCCCACCTTATTTTGTTCTCATAAATTGAACCCAAATAAATGGTTAGACAAAGATTTTGATAGGTTTGTGGTGGCTATAATAGTAACCGTCATTTATTATACCCATTCTAGAGCCCAGGAAGCTTGCTTAACATATGTTATCTTCCATCCTTCCTTCCTAAAACTACATAGTAAGTAATATTGACCACATTTTACAAACGAAGAAACTGAGGCTCTGAGCTCAAGGTCACACAGTGGCAAGAACCAGGCTCCATAGCCAGGTCTGTCTACCTCTAATCCTTTGCCTTTTCTGCCATTTAGAAGGCTGCTTTAATTCCTTTGGTGTAGTATTTCTTAAGCCTTCCTGCCTCTTTTGAGTTTAAGAAAATGAACATGTATATTTCTAGCATACACATTCTGGGATCGGAATCAATCAGCAGCAGCATGAAATTTCTTTGAAAGTATCTTGTTTACCTTAAACATTCATGTACATTTTATACCCTATGCCATAAGTAGATTGATACTTGTTTTAATACAAAAGTGAATTCTAATTATTTGCTTAACATTTTTCTCACATTTTCTAGCATAATTGAGTTTATAGGAAAGCTCCCTCCCTCTCCATCTTTATCCTATGGCTTTACTCCGTGGCACTTTACTAAAATATAACTCATGAAAAGAAAGACCCCTTCTGGTTCCTGTCTGAGCATTGGGAAGTATCTCACAGAGATAGGAAGTCAGCTCACACTAGCCCTGTCATTCTTGTTATCCTCCCCATGCAACTGGGATCTTGGTTGATAGGTGTTGGCTCCTTGTGCTAATGAATCTGTTTGGGGTCGGGGAAATGTATGAGAATACTTTGGAATGTAGGTCAGGTTGTAGGCCATACTTTGCCATCTACAAATTGTTCTTTGGTAAAGTTATTTAACCTTTTGGGGCCCCAGTTTTCTTTTTTTGAAGATGTTTCAAGTCTTCTGCCTTTATATTCTGTGACTATATAAAAATTTTAGGGATGGACTGGTGAGTGTTTTGATGGAAAGAGTAGCAAAAGTTGTTACTTAAATTGTAGTGTTTAATTACAATAAAATGTTTTCAAGTTATAAATCCTAACGTACTATGGCTTTTTCTTTTTCTTTTTTTTTTTTTTAAGACTTTATTTATTTATTTGACAGAGAGAGAGAGATCACAAGTAGGCAGAGAGGCAGGCAGAGAGAGAGAGGGAAGCAGACTCCCCGCTGAGCAGAGAGCCCGATGCGGGGCTCGATCCCAGGACCCTGAGATCATGACCCGAGCTGAAGGCAGAGGCTTTAACCCACTGAGCCACCCAGGTGCCCCGCCCGGCTTTTTCTTTTTTAAGATATTTGTTTTTAAGTAATCTGTACACCCAGCGTGGGGTTTGAACTTATGAGCCCAAGACGAAGAGTCACATGTTCTATTGACTGAGCCAGCCAGGCACCCCTATAGCTTTTTTGTATAAGTTAATAAATACATTGGTTAAATTTAATGTTTTAACCAGGCAATATATTTACATGGTTGAGAACTCAAAAATTACAGAGCAAAAAATCTTTCATTCTGTTGTTCACCCACATAATCTCACTTCCTAGAGGCATGTAATGTTTGGGGGGTCCTTTTAGAAATGTTTATGTATATCTATGTATATCTCTGTGTATACATGTATTAGCTCCACCCCCATATCTCTTTACACATTACAGAAGATGCAGTTCTGCTCTTTGCTTTTTTTCTGTTACTCTAACTTGGAGATTTTTTCACATCAGTACAAAGAGAGCTTTTTTATCTCTCTCTCTCTCTCTTTAGGGCTTCATGGTATTCCATAATATGGACATACCATAGTTTATTTAACCAGTCCCCAGATGATCCAAGTTTCTAAAAATTTGCTCTTAGAAGTAGTACTACAGTAAATTACTTAGTAGCATGGCATTTCACATATTTGCAAGTTTATCTCTTGGACAGATTCCTAGAAGTGGAATTTTTAGGTCAAAAGATTTATGCGTTTATTTAGTTTGGGTATATTTTGCCAAATTACCAGTTCCTAAGTCACCAGTTTCCACTCCCTCCCACAGTGCATCAGAGTGCTTATTTTTTTATAGGTTTTAAAACTAAGGATTAGGATTGCCCTTTGCAAATGGAAAAATTCCTATCATATGATCCTATAAGTAATGTGATTCAGTATGTGATGTACTGCCTCAGAGTTAGCATTAAATTATCTTGGGGAGCCCTGGAATCATTCTTGGCATGGAAAAACCAATGTTCTGAAGAAGTTGGTTGATGTGTAAAATGGAGCTCCAAATAACTGGGATATCTCCAGGCACTGTCATTGTGCAGGGATAAGATGTTCTTCTTGTTATAATTTAAATTAATGGGCTGTAATTCTTCTGTAGATTTTTATTTTGGCTACTCTCTTATTTCCATTCTAAGCAGAGATTTTAATGTCCTATGTCATGAAGTCTTTATGCCATGAGTATTATAGGCATTAAGTATGTATATTATAACAATTAAAGGCATTATATATAACAAATGATTTGGACCTTTGTAAGAAAGCCATCCAGCTAAAAGTGACTGGGAGATGATGCTTCATCTAGCTCTAGGCTCTGGGGTGTCACAAAAGACAACTCCTAAACAACTAAGGGTTTTTTGGTGTTCTATATATTTATTTATACTTATGCATATATTATATGCATATTTATATTTTAAGTAAATAGACTTTTAAATATTGCATGTAAAATCTTGCAAAATGTTAACGCACCAATGTTACATTTCCCTTAGAAATTTTTTTTTTGGCAGTGATAAAAAGAGGATTTCATTCTTGGAGGCTTATAAAACATAAAACTAGCCACCTTTTCCTCTTGCTTTTGTTTCCTTCATATTATAATTTAGATGTCCTTGTCATTATTTCTGAAAATCACTTAAGGTTGCTTCTAAGTCATTGTTTCTTGGAACAAGAGGTGCGGTTTTTGGTTAAGTTTTGTGTATAAAAAAAGTGTTTGAGCATTTACATTGGACATACAAAGGGGCACGATAGTCGCTTTCTCTTGGAACTTTCCAAATAATTGGGAAAATGAGACATACATATGACTCACAAATGTAGTACCAAGCAGTTGTCTATGGAATTGAAAGACTCTGGGGATTTGAAAGTGTGTAGAAGGGCCAGTTGAGTCTTGACATTTGAAGGAATTTTGGAGACTTTGGTGCAGAATCGTTGAATGGATTCTTCAGTCTCCTGTGGAACCACATTTCTCTGTAATCCCTGGAATAGTTTTTCTACCCTTTGTAGGATATCCAGTAGATAAGAGGCAGCAACAATGTATTATAGTGGAAGGAGCACAGGATTATGAGTTAACATAGCTGGATTCTAATCCTGTCTTTGCTATATTAACTAGCTGGGTGACCTTAGTACAGGCTCTTGGCTTTTTTATGGTTGGTATCTGAGGGGAGAACAGTATCTGCTTAGCCAACTTTTTATTTATAGCACAGGGGTTTTGTCAACATCAGATGAAAAAATAGATTTTTAATGTCGGAAATATTTAAAGTGCTATCTAAATATGAAATACTGTTTATTTAAACATATTACTCTTGTGGAGAACTGCTTGTGTTCTATACATGTCATAAATTCTTTTTTTTTTTTTTAAGATTTTATTTATTTATTCGACTGACAGAGATCACAAGTAGGCAGAGAGGCAGGCAGAGAGAGTGAGAAGCAGGCTCCCCGCCAAGTGGAGAGACCGATGCGGGGCTCGATCCCAGGACCCTGGACTCATGACCTGAGCCGAAGGCAGAGGCTTTAACCCAGGCGCCCCTCATAAATTCTTTTTAACATAAACATGTATGGGATTTTTTTTTTTTTAACCTCTGTTAATTGCCCACCCCATTAATTTTGATCTTTTAGTTTAGTTCAGGCATTCTGTTCCAAATGGCCCTTTTTTTTAGTCCTTCAATCACTATTTACAGGTTCTTCTTAATTATTAGGGTCTTCTTAAAGACCGCAATAAATTATTTGGAATCCTTTAAGAAACTCGTTGGGCCAAAAGTGATGTGGGAGAGTTGTTTGCAAATATCTTCTCCCATTCTGTCAGTTGTCTTTTGGTTTTGTTAACTGTTTCCTTTGCTGTGCTCTCACAAAAGATCACTCATAAATAATCACTGACGATCTTTATTGACTATACTTTACTGTCTAATAGTTCCTTTAGTGTTCTCCAGTTCAGGAGTAGCAAAGTCAGATGACCCCAAGATGCTCACCAAACCACCAGTGAAGCAGGCCAGTTGAACAGTAAAGGTGGGGGATTATTTGAACTAGGAGACAGCCGCTGCTTAGTTCTAGCCTTTGTCACTCTCAGGGACCGGGCTTAGGGTTGCCAAATCTTTACATTTCTCAAAAGAAGGCTGAAATATGGATTTTCTTCTTTCTTTTCTTACTTTGAAATGTTGGCTTCTAGGGGGTCACATCCAGCTCTAAAGGTCTAGTTGGAGACATTGGTATACTTGCTTCACTATTTTTTTTCTTATTTAACTCATCAGTCCATCTGTGCTGTTCTCTTTTTCTTCTTCTTCTTTTTTTTTTTTTTAATTAATCTTTATTTATTTATTTATTTATTTTTATAAACATGTAATGTATTTTTATTCCCAGGGGTACAGGTCTGTGAATTGCCAGGTTTACACACTTCACAGCACTCACCATAGCACATACCCTCCCCATGTCCATAACCCCACCCCCCTCCCCCCAGCAACCCTCAGTTTATTTGTGAGATTAAGAGTCACTTATGGGGGGCACCTGGGTGGCTCAGTGGGTTAAAGCCTCTGCTTTCGGCTCAGGTCATGATCCCAGGGTCCTGGGATCGAGTCCCGCATCGGGCTCTCTGCTCAGCGGGGAGCCTGCTTCCTCCTCTCTCTCTGCCTGCTTCTCTGCCTACTTGCGAT